TCTGCGCCCTGAAGGCGAATTATCCGTCACCTCCTGGTTCCTGGGTCGACACACTCCACCACTGAGCTACACGGGCCAGGCATGAAAAACTAACGATAACTAACAAGTCAATACAATCCTCCTTTAACTTTGTTGAAAGCAAAGAATCGGAACCCATTTAAATCATAACGATTCGGCCCCTTCTCCGTTTCAAACTCAGGACACATAAATTTAGGGCCTCATTAGCTTTTGCTTTGGGATCCGAGGCAGGAAGAGGATGGTAGGGGATCTAAGAAAAACTTAGAGCCTAGCTGGTCGGATAGCTGCCTACCGAAAACCAACCCTAGGATTCCTAGCATTTCTAGGACAGGACAGCGCGGGAAGGCCTGACTGAAGCTGGCCTAGCCCTGAGAACATCCGCACGTCCGTCTGCAAACGGCGTGTCCCCGGCCGGCCCTTAGGGGACTGGGAGAACTCGCCGGGTTTAAAGGGCGCGGTAGCGGGAGTGAGGAGAGTTCCCCTTTGGCTCGCCGGACAGACTGTCAGGCCCCGGGGCTCGGTGCGGCGAAATGCAGCAGGACCTCGCGACAGGCAGCATTTTAACTTTTCCTCGACAGCGTGGAGAAGCCGCTGGGGATAGCAGCTGTAGAGTGGAAGTCAAGGGAGGTCACACAAGAGGCTTCGCGCTCGGAGACTTGGCCTAGAACTTGGAAGCCCGCTGCCCCGCACTCTGGCCTCTATGCCACCCACGCCCCCATTCACCCGCAGTGCGCTGTTATCTCTCTGACTGACATCCTTGTCAGCCAATAACCTTTGGGACTGAGAAAGAGCCTGCCCCCTAGAATTAAGAAGGACAAGTCATTGGAATGACAAACGTTTGCACCAATAGCGAGGAGGTTCCAAAAGCTACAGGTACAATAGCCAATGAAGAGAAGGAACCGTCCTAAATGACGTGTCAGGCAGCCAACGCCCGGCGCCACTGTGGGGAACGCGTGGCTTCCGTTCCGAGAGGGCGGGGCAACGTCTCAAACGGAAGGTGGTAGTCGTCCGAGCCCAAGCGGGTTTGAAACCGGGGGTCGGACCCGGCGGCTGTCGTTGTCTGTCGCCGAGGCCCCGCTTCCGGGCTAGGCTGCCCCTGCCTGCCCCGGCGCCGCCTCTCGTCGGACCCCTAGGTCCCAGGCCCGGCTCCCCGCCTGACTCGCGCCCCACCCGCCGCATCCCGCTACCGACCCGGCCCGCACTGCGGCCCCGCCGCAGCCACCATGTCCCTGCACGGCAAACGGAAGGAGATCTACAAATATGAAGCGCCCTGGACCGTCTACGCCATGAACTGGAGCGTGCGGCCTGACAAGCGCTTTCGCCTGGCGCTGGGCAGCTTCGTGGAGGAGTACAACAACAAGGTGGGCCGGGCAGGGGCTCGGAACCCAACTGACAGGGAGCGGGCCCCTGGAGCGCCCTTTCCGGGCCCCAGCCCAGACCCCTGGACCCTCCTGGGGACTTGCCTTAGCGCCACGGAGCGGTTCCTCTGAGTCTGGTCCTGAGTAGAGGGTTTCGCACTTGTTTCATTGAAACCTGGCAGCATTCCTGTGCAGTCAGGAGAGTGGTTACCCTTGCCCGCATTTTACTGATGGGGAAACCGAGGCACAGCGTGGTGACTTGCCGGAGTCAGGCAGCTATTTCGTGGCGGAAACATCTCAAACTCGAATTTACACCCCAACGCTATGCCGTTTATCCCTTCTATCTCCCACCCCTCCTGCCGCATTGCTTCAGTTGGGAGGCGGAGGAGGAAAGAGGGAGTGATAATTGTGAAGGGTAATGCTCACGCTTTGGTTGGTGTCATTCACTCCTGGCCACGTTGGATTTCTACTAGGGCTGTTTATGGCGCAGACCTCCCCTCCCCCTACTCCCGGCCCCAGGTACTATTCATGGTTACCCCCAGTCCCTCTGCCAGGATTGCCATGGCTGCCTCATATCTGTCCTTTAAAAAGCGATCTCTTTTTGAAAATCCTGGCCTGTAGCCTTGATCCCGCTATTGTTTTCTGGATAGAGAAGGATGATACTTGCCATATCTTTTCTTGGCTTCTTCATGCTTATACAGATGTGTAACCTTGAGTGGCAAGTATCCATCAATTTGAGAAGCCTTCATAGAAGCACCCGTAGTAAGTGGAAGCTTTTAAGCCGGCAGTGCCGCATAAATTTATTTTTGAAAGCTGTTGAGAAAATTCAGTGGGAAGAATTTTCTTTCCTTTATCTCTTAATCTCTTCCTTTTATTGTATTCGAGTAAATGTTGTGATTGTTAGGGTTCAGAGCAATTGAAAGCCTTGGCTAGTTTGGCAGGCATGGTGCAGGGAGGAAAAGCCAGGCAGTCTGTGGGGAAGTGCACATGTCAGTCTTACCATTTCTGACCCACACTTTGTTGTAGGAAAGGTGAAGGTCCTGTAAAAAACATTTGAACATTGTGAGTTTGTTTGCAGTTCTTCAGGAGCACAGCTGTTTCTCTAGTGTTAGGTCTTAACTTCTTTGGAATCCCCTCTGAGAAACTGATAAAAGTGATGGACTCATTTCCTAGACATTACACATAATTTACAAATACCATGGAGTTCCCCCATTACTCACAGAAACCAGAAAGTCCAGAGCAAGACATAACTTTATTTTATTTTCTCTGATTTCTCTTTTCTCCCTTATTATGTCCATAGTGGACAGCAGAACTGGGAATGGAATTCAAAGTCCTGATGTTAAAACCATGTTAGTAAAATTAAGAGCACTAGAACTATTGTTTAAGGATACATGTGAAAAAATAATAATAAAATGTCTTTTAAAGGGCTTGAGTCTTCACACAAATAGATGGTTTTTTCCTTGCAAGTTCTTCCAGGGTTAACTTGAGTAAGTAGTAGAAGTTACATTTCTAAGAGAAGACAAACTGAGCCACATTTAGGCTGCTGGTGGGAATCAGTGGAGTAATTGGTGTCAAACCTCAGTTGCAGGAACTTTACCCCCAAAGTTTGCCCCTTCATTAGCAACTGTGTGAGAGCTCCTTTGTGCCAGGCACACAGGCAATGTGGCCTTAGTAGTGTAATGCAAACTAATAATCCCATTGGTAACCAAATAAGCAGTTAACTATATCTTAACTATGTGATGTAGGTGATCAGTATCTTAAAACTATTTTGGTGCCCCCACCTATCTAAGAGTTTAACCTTGTGTGTGTGTGCGCGCATGGACAGACACCTTTGGCAATCTGACTTCAGATGTCTGTCACAATTATGTTTTCTGTCACAATTATGCTTTCAAATGCATAAAATACATAGGATTATGAAGGAAACCAGTTATATTGAACTAGTTATCAAGAACATTTTTTAAAAAGTGGTGATATATACCCTGACTGATGTGGCTTAGTGGTTGAGCACCGTCCCATGCACCAAAAGGTCACCGGTGCGATTCCCAGTCAGGGACCATGCCTAGGTGGTGGGTTCAGTCCCCAGTCAGGGTGTGTGCACGAGGCAACCAGTTGATGTTTCTCTTTCACATCAGTGTCTCTCTCTCTCTCTCTCTCTCCCCCCCTCTTCCTTCCTCTCTCTCTCAAATTAATTTTTTTAAAAAGAAAGTTGTGATGTAGCAATATATACCTATGTATTAACTCATTAAATTACACCATCCAGTGTAATTATTACTGTACTTTTGAAGTAGTGAGGAAGGTAAACAGCATTTCAAGATGTTTAACAACTGTAATGTAATATGAAAAAAGTAATTTATATTTGTGACAAAGTCACTGATTCATGCTGCTGTGAGTAACTGCCTCCATTTGTAATTGAAGGAAATGCTAAATTTCAGCTAGAGGTTAGTGAAAATATGAATGTAACGTTCAAGTTCATGAACTTCAAGAAATCCTGCTGTAGCCCGACTGGGTGTGGCTCAGTGGTTGAGCGTCAACCCAGGATCCAGGCTATCGGGGTTTGATTCCCGGTCAGGGCACATGGCCGGGTGGCGGGCTCCATCCCCAGTCGGGGGCGTGCAGGAGGCAGCCGATCAATGACTCTCTCATCATTGATGTTTCTCTCTCTCTATCTGTCTCCTTTCCTCTGTATGAAATCAATAAAGATATATTTAAAAAAAAGAAAGAAATCCTGCTATAGAGGGCCTGTGCCTAGGGGCTGGTGGGCGGTAAATCCCACCTTAAAGCAGTGATTCTCAGGCTCAGTTTTGGAGAAACTTTGACATGGATGTGCCAGACTTCATAATTTGCAGGAATTTAAAAATTATTGTTTGGAATTTTCAGAGCTTTGGTTTCTGCTTGCCCTCAACAGTATTGCCAGCAAGACAAAATAAATGGACATAGCAAATTAACATTGATGAAAAGCCCAGAAATGGTCTTTTTTGACTCTGTTATATTACTTTTCATTTCTCAGTATTGTGGTAGCCCTTCAGGATCCTCATTCTTTTGCTCATTAATTCAACAGATATGTATTGAACACATATATGTTTTAGGCACAGTGATGATGCTCAGTAACTTTATGTAGTCTTCATTAGCAGATATGAGATTGACAGCAATAAAGAAAACATGATTTAGTACACATAAGTATTTTTGATAGATATTTAGACTTTTGAAAATTATGCAGTGTTCCATCAGCCCCTAATAAGACCATCAGCAGGGGAATTTAAAACATAAAACTCTTCTGGTTTTAACTTCCCTCCTTTCTTTATTCTAGACAGCGAGAGGACTGATTCCTCCATAGGACCAACTAGATAAAAGTGCTGCTGCTTTATTATTTTTTGCTGTAACCTGGCTCACACAGACTTACTGGAGATGCTATGATCTGAACAAGGAATGACGGTAGTCTGGCCTGCCTCAGGCTGTGATGCCTAATTGGGCAGCCTCTGTGCCAAGAGCTGAAGGGGTGCTGAGTCAGAATTCATCTCAGAGCTTGACAAGGCAGGATCATTGATCAGCAATTGTCAGGAATAGGCTGGAAGGGAAGACAAATGGAAAAGACCAAGAAAAGCTATTTTAGTCTCTCAGAATTTTGCTCTAGCTGATTTTGGTTATGTTAACGATTTGGGGGAAATGTTCCACTCACTGGAGGGTATGTTGATTTGGATAACTTAGACTGAAGGGTCTTGGGTTCAGTTCCAGTCAAGGGCACGTCACTCAGTTGCAGGCTCAATCCCTGGCCCTGGTCCGGGCACGTGCGGGAGGAAACCAATCGATGTGTGTATCTCACATCGATGTGTCCCCTCCCTCCCCATCTCTCTATCTCTGAAAAGCAATGGAAAAATATCGTTCAGTAAGGATTTAAAAAAAGAAAGAAAACAAGCAACCCAGTAAAAAATGAAACTCTTCTGTGTGATACTATAATGGTGGATACCCTTCATTCTACATTTGTCAAAACCTATAGGATGTACAACACAAAGACTGAGCTCTAAGGTAAGCTCTGGACTTTGGGTGATAATGATGTATCCTTGTAGTTCATCAGTTGTAACAAACATACCACTTTTTAAAGGACAAAATATTTGAACAGACTTCAGAGAATAAATACAGATGGCAGATAAGCACATGAAAAGATGCTAAATATCATTAGTTGCTAGGGAAGTGCAAATTAAATACTACTACACACCTATTAGAATGACTTCAAAAGAAAAGCTGGCAATACCAAGTACTGACAAGTATGTGGAGCATGTGGAACGCTCATGTAATGGTAGTGGGAATGCAAAATGACAAAGTCACTTAGAAAATGGGTTAGCCGATGTGGTTCGCTTGGTTGGGTGTCATGGACAAAGTTTTTTAATAAACATACACTTACAACATGACCCAGCAATTTCACTCTTAGTTGTCTACCCAAGAAAAAATGAAAGCATATTCCCCCAAAAGAACCTCATACATAAATGTTTATATCAATTTACATTAATGGCCCCAAACTAGAAATAACCCAAAAGTTCATCAACTGGATATAGTGTTTCCACATAGTGCAATATTTATTCAGCAGTAAAAAAAGAAGACACTACTGATACAACAGGGATGAATCTCAAGAGTGGCGTGCTGAAAGCCAGTCACAAAAGACTCAATACTGTGATTCCATTTATATGCTGTTACAGAACTGGTAAAACTACAGGTCAGGGGTTGCTTAGGACTAGGGGTAGGGGACTGACTGCAGAGGAGCCCAAGAGAACTTTTTGGGTTGATGCAAATGTTTTATATCTTAATTATTGTGTGCCGGGGG